CTTTTTCTAGCATGTACTACTGCTAGATTGTGTGGTCATAGCAGCATTAAATGAGCCTAATGTGTACACCCAAACACATTTAAGACCGCACTCAAGACTGTGGCAGCACGCCAAAAATAGATAAAAAAGGCAGCCCCCTTAAACACTTACCCATGCAAAAGTCGTATGCATAGCATCCAACCGGAAAAAAAGATGAGAGAACAAGACACAAGCCATACAGACTGAACTTACTGAACTTCACCAACCTTTCAGATTTTACCATAAACGTCGCACAACTTCAAGAAACCAGAGCCACGCAGACAACCATTTCAACCCTCGTGTCATAGTCGCCATCAAAAGGCTCAGGACTAGCTGTTACAAGCTGCTCAGAACTACTACGCTCCATCATTTCCTTGCAGTGCTGCTAAGGCTAAGTTGTTCCTATCAGCCAATCAAACACAAGAACTACTTGCAAGCATTGAAAGAGGAGCTTCATGCACTGCGAATTCTTCCACACAGATGATGTCAGCATTGTGTGAAAGGAAATTAGAGCACTACAATGGAATGTCATTTCTGCCTCTCTATTCTTATTGGATGGAGTGACCTGAAGCTTGTGCAGCAATGCATGGATTTGTTGAAGTAGCACTTGACGACAGCATATGATTCCTTGAAGAAATATATGGACGAAATTACAGCAACTAAATAATGAACTGCCCAAGCGAGGAGCCATATATCACAAGGACTAGGGTATCGTAGCCACATTCATTAACATATAAGCACCCATGTAACTTTATGCACAGATAGTGTGCACATCCGTGCACATATACTCTTAAATTACCAGTGCTAAGATATTTGACTTCACAACACTAAAAGTTATTTGAAGGGCCCCTTGGCCAGCTCCAATATTTTTTGTGACATTTCAAGTAAAGTTACATCAAGTTCAAAACACTTTCCCAATCAACAAAGCCAAATATGGCAGCACTAGCCCTGAGGGTGCATCACATTAAAAATAAAGCAATCCTACGCTTCTCTCCGGGCAATTAGGTATTCCAGCGTTGGTCGTGATGTAACCAGGAGGATCTAGTCATTTCAGCAGCAGAAAAAAACATGTCTGCCTGCGGGTAAGCGCACTCCCTGCTTATCCTCCTCGCACAGCGCGAAACCACAAATAAGGTGCCCTGCGCTTTCCTCGGCCCAATCGTCTGCTAGTTTCGTTAGTTTATAAAACAGAAAACAAGCCCCTTGGACTATTCCACTACTTTCGTGATCACACTGTGAGGTGCAGCGTTCAATCAAAAGAAGTGACAAGACACTGAACGGAGCATAGCGAAGGTAAAGAACAAAACGAAGGCGGGCCACATTTCGATCAACTATGAATGCATCAAACGCAGTAAAAAACTGTCACCCACAGAATCTTTAGAAGGGCGATGAAAGATCCACATTGTTCCAGCAATATCCGAGCCAAGTGGTAGAGTAAAAGTGCATTGGCATCACTTGAATGCCTCGAAAAAGGCTTATCACCTCGAACTGTACGGTGAACCCCACGTGACCAAAGTCTAAACCAATGGCGACATTAGCAGGCAAAGTAGTAAAAAAAGGACTGCTTTATAGGTGAGAAAGCAACTGCACTCAATAACGATTATGTCATTACTAGTTATAGATGACTACCCTCACTACCATTTGGATGTTGTTACTAATTACAGATGACTACAATCCTGCTTGCAAAACTGCTGTCATCCATTTGTATGCCTCTCCTGCCAACATATAACATTATGCGTTATATTTTTACGTTGCTTTCCTAAAGATCCTTAACACATTCTCCACTCTGGTAACAACTCATGAAATGTAATTATGCAGTACAACCAAAAGAAGCAATCCGCCATAAGTCATCTCCCCCGAAATCCCTCCATATGTAACAAACCATAATATCTCACTTTCAAAAAATACCATGCAAACGACAGACCACGAGGTGCTAAATCAAAGGCCAGCAAGGAATGTAAACACATTGCGATGAAAGCTTATGTTGACCAAAAGTGCAGATACATTTCTAACATTGCTTCTCAAGCAGACATATTAACACGAGTTGGCACTCAATTTACATTCAATCGACTGAGACAAACGTACATACAGTGTCATGCGTAAAATTTGGACGAATGAAGTAGACATTGACAAATAATGCAGTGACATTTAGGCAACATGAAAGTGACTTTAGAAACCGGACACTCTTTCTGGTTGCCCACACCGCTATTGATGCCACCATTTGGCACAATCGCAATGTCACTAAAACGTCACGCGATTGAGATACATCGCATTCACTTTCAAGCCTCACTTACAGTGACAAGTGACTAGGCATGGTGACGAAAGCTTTTCCCCGCTACAAGTCAGATTATAACCAAGTACCACCATTAAAAGCCATGTGTGGGCCAAATCAACAAACACATTAGCCCTAAAATAAATTAAACCAAGCACACACATGCATAGAGAAATAGTGCTAGGAAACACTCATCCGCAACAATATTCATCCTTTTTTTTTTCCAGCAGTACCACAGAAAGCCATGGTAACCATCACTCAGAAACAAGCATATAAAGGAATATAAAACCACAACGATGAACTAGGAATTTCTTTTAAAATTGGTTGGTTACAAGCAGAAAACGAAAGTAATGTCAGAAAACGAAAGTAATGTACAACAACCTCGGAAAAGAGCAGCGCTTCAAGATAGGTAAGAGTGCACTTCAAGTTGTAAAAGACTATGTCTACTTAGGGCAAGTACCGTAAAAACCGGAATATAGGTCGAATTTTTTTTCAAAGAGACGCGATGAAAAGTCGACCCCCGTCTTATATACCGGTCATTGGCAGAAAACTTATGGAAGTCTTGCAACAATGGGTTGACAAAAGTCGGTAGGCTCCATTGCCATCGTGAGCATCAGCAACAGCATCGTTGGGCGGCCGCGACGCCCATTTTGCGTTTTGTTTGTCCCGATTGCGAAGCAAGGGTGGCTGCGGTGGTTTTGCGCTGTTTCATTATCCCCATCTGAGGCTATCTCCTTCAATATGAGTGGCAGCCGACGTCAGTTCACGATGTGCTTCAAGAAAAAAGTCATCGAATATGCGGAAGCCCACGGCAACCTGGCGGCACAACGAGAATTCGGCCCGACGGAGAAGAGCATCCGATACTGGAGGAGCCAGAAACAGCGCATCATAAGTTGCAGCAACCAGAAGAAAACGTCGTTTCGTGGACGGACTGCAGTTCACCCCGAACTGGAAACGGCACTCGTCGAGTTCGTACGGGAGCTGCGCGCAAGGTCGCTACCCGTGACAACGGAGTGCATCCGCGTGAAAGCGCTCGAGATTGCGCGCGACTCGGGGCTCACGAGGGCGCAATTCAAGGGCTCGCCATCGTGGGTGCGCCGATTCATGAAGCGGAAGGGCCTTGTTCTGCGGCGGCGTACTTCAGTGTGCCAAAACTACCCGCAGAGTTCGAGCACAAGCTTGTGGAGTATCAGCGCTTCGTCATCGAGCTTCGTCGACAGCGTTGCTACATGATGGGCCACATGGGCAACGCTGACGAAACTCCGGTCTGGTTCGATATGCCATCGAACACGACTGTGACCGAGAAAGCAGCGAAGCAAGTGAAGCTATTGACAACGGGCAACGAGCATTCGCGGTTTACCGTGATGCTCGCGTGTACAGCAGACGGAAAGAAGCTGCCTCCTTATATTATTTTTAAAAGGAAAACGCTACCGAAGGAGGACTTCCCTCGGGATGTGATCGTGAGGGCAAGCGAGAAGGGGTTCATGAACGAATCCCTCATGCTTGAATGGATCCGGCTCGTGTGGAACCGCGACCCGGTGCCCTTTTTCAACGACCGAGCATGCTGGTGCTCGACTCTTATCGCGGTCACAACTGCCGATGTGAGCGATCGCTGTCCGATGGCAGACGGATCTTGTTGTCATCCCCGGGGGACTGACATCTATCTCCGCCACTGGACGTTGTGCTGAAACACATCCGTTTTAAAGGTCGCGTGCGCGAGCTCTACAGTGAGTGGATGCTGGGAGACAATCCAAGACCCCCGCTGGCCGCCTACGGCGTCCCACCGCTCGGCAACCGTTGTGGCTGGGTGTCGTCAGCCTGGAAATCCCTCCCGGAAGAGATGGTTCGCAAATCCTTCCGCAAATGGCTGCATCAGCAAGCGTTAGACGGCACAGAGGACGATGCACTCTGGGACATCGCTAGTGAAAAACAAACATCATCCGACTCGAGTTCGGATGAGTCCGAGTACTTCGTGACCTCCTAGCATTGAACAGTGTCTAAATAAAAATGAATGTTACCACAGTGCAGCTAGTTGCGTTTGCGTTTTTATCAAGGTAAGGGTGTGCCGCGATACTTTGCGATTTTTTTAAATTTCTTTTTTTACGATTCAAGTTTTGGGGGTCGTCCTATATTGCGGTCCGACCTATGGTCCGGTTTTTACGGTAATAACCGTGGAGCCGAACCACGAGATTGAAGTAACTAGAAGAATAAGAATGGGGTGGAGCACATTTGGCAAGCACTCTCAAATTATGACAGGTAGATTGCCACTATCCCTCAAAAGGAAGGTATATAACAGCTGTATCTTGCCGGTACTTAGCTACGAAGCAGAAACCTGGAGACTTACAAAGAGGGTTCAGCTTAAATTGAGGACGACACAGCGAGCAACGGAAAGAAAAATGGTAGGTGTAACAAGAAGAGAGCAGAGTGGATTAGGGAACAAACGGGGGTTAAGGATATCATAGCTGATATCAAGAAGAAGAAATGGACATGGGCCGGGCATGTAGTGCGTAGACAGGATAACCGCTGTTCGTTAAGGGTAACTAACTAGATTCCCAGAGAAGGCAAGCGGGTTAGGGGGAGACAGAAGGTTAGGTGGGCAGATGAGATTAAGACGTTTGCGGGTATAAATTGGCAGCAGCAAGCACAGGATGGGGTTAACTGGCGGAACATGGGAGAGGCCTTTGTCCTGCAGTGGATGTAGTCGGGCTAATGATGATGACGATCATGATGATGGTTACAAGCAGCAGCAGCAGATACAAGTAACTAAAGCTTTTCTCTGCCAATCTTACTGAGCAACTCTAGATTTGAATGTAGTGGTTCTAGAAAGAAGAGTTCGAGTCAAACACGTCAAGCTTCGAAGAAGCCACTTTATCTGAATCTTTTTAAAGTCTTTAGTGCCACCCATAAAAATTGTAGCAAATCGTTTAGCTTATTGCCACTTCTCTCATCCCACAAGCAAAGCTCATCCCCCAAGCAAAGCCAAAAATTTAGTCTCCCGCCTGAACAAAACGTTACTTCAAAATGTACCATCAATGTCTGGTATTGAATGCTAATGGTAGGATCCAGAGTATTGGCACGGTCTGCTAGGTTGACCAATTGCTGGGGGTCTCAAGACCACCTATACAGCGAGTTTAAACACCCAACACTCATGGTTGTCTCAAGTGTTGACACACTTAGGACAGCGTATGTAAGTCGTCTCAACATAACCTCGTCATTTACAACAGAGAGTTTAGTTGACGCCCTGTCCATATGTTCATTCCCTTCTAGGTAACTGCCAGAGCAAGAACGATGCCCAGTGGCATGAAAGCAATTCGCATCCCTAAATCAGGACAATTACCATTGCTAGTTTCAACCAAGTGAACTTGCACAGCTCTAGCAGAATAAATAATGTGGCCCTTGCTTGAAAAGTTTAAAAACCAATACGTGAGTTTTGTACAATACTGGCAACAATCATATAATGATATATTTTTATAGGGATTACGAAGCTATAAACACGTCGTGACAATAAAAGGTCAGCTCGAACCGCACACTGCATGGCCTGGTAAGAGTGGTACACAAACTGAAGGCCTCTTTGCAATTGACTTCTGGTTTGGACCTTCTGAAGTACACCTTGCACCAATTTGTCCCGCAATGCTGAGTGAAGCAGCGACCGAAAAAGTGGTCATATTTAATAAACTTTACATGTGATTAAATCGATCACATTCTCGCAAAAAAGGGATAATTCATCTCTACTACTCTGCTTTTCAACACTTGATGTACTTGAAACACCAGCCAAATGAGCCGCTTCCAAACTTTACATGCTACTTTCAAACATAACGAGCTCGTTCTACAAGTATTATTCAACAAAACAAGCATAACTTGAAGTGACATGCTAACATTGAATTCATAACCTGATCTTTCTGAGAAGTTCATTTTCCACTGTATCCCATTCAATGCATGTTCAAACCTAAGCTCAAAAACGATGCTTCAACAAAAACTTCATCGTACAGCAAATAACTTAACCGTGTGTCCAGGAGATCTAGATGATATTTGGCTCTCAGTGAAAAAAGAAAAAAATTCATTCGAAAGCCTACATTTCACATAATTGCAATGCCATGCTCCGGTATTGTAGAAATTCCATTATCCGTGCGAACAGTCACGTGGCTCACTAAAACGAGCTCTTAATCTATTTACATTGATCTAACTGTACAAAGCAATTACTGATCTGCCCGCCACGAGCTTGAACATTCATCCATTTCCACATACCACATAAAGACCCAGGAATGACTTCCAAAAAGCGGTGAAGGCTCATGCATTTAAATAGTGTTGGCAAGTGCGAGACTGGCCGCGTAAATTTAACCGTGCCCCGTGAAACACATTGTTAGCAATAATCGTACGACATACTTGATGAAATGGCAAATAGTTTTGCAGATTTGCACGAGTAGGAGGAAGGGTTATCAAATGATTATAAAGAGAAAAAAGCTTTGGTGGATGCCAATTATCCCTTCCGTACATAGTGAGGGTTCACTAAACTCGATTTCTTTGACCTCTAAAGATCTACGAAATGGGGGAAAAGAAACCCTTCACAATGGTCGATTTGCCACACTAGTACCAGCTGCACAACACTAGCTGAGGTTTACCATTCATCTAACTGTAAAATGAAAGGTAGCCTCACATACAACAAGAAATAATGCAAATATGATGGGTTGTAAACTTTTGCGAAAAGTTTTCTTTTAACCATGCCCGTTTGCTAGCTTCTTAGTAAGACTTGAAGAACCTCCAGTACAGAAAAAAAAGTAGGGGCGTCTAAATGCCCAATAGCTAAATACAATTTCTGAAAAGAACACATGTTAACTAAATGTTGAGCATTCAGTTTACAGATGTAATATGAATTTAATTACATAGTTCCGTAGTCAATATTTGCACACCCCTACTATTTATTTGAATAGAAGACCTGTCACATTCAAAGCTAATGAAAAAAAGCTAACAAAAAATGGATTGCTTGATATATGAACATTCCACACATAACAAGAAAACAATGTTTAGGCTGGTTCTACAGCTCTCTGAGCTTCCTTACCTCCAAGCAAAAAATCTGTGTACACAACACCAAAATACCATAGTGCCTACTTTCAGTCAAGAAACAAAAACTGCTGAGCAGGAGCGGTTATATCTTTCAGCATCAAAAGACACACAAACACACACCATGGTGTTGCAAGATTTTGGCAACACTTCTACAAGAAACATGCATGCACACACACACACAAAAACTACCAGCTCGAGCGAACAACAATCGCCAGCAATCGCTGCTTTCACAACCGCACACAAAACACAAAACGCAGCCCTTTCCAAGAACTCGAGGAACGTGTTATGCACACTTTTTTTTTCCACAAGACAAGACCCTTCCGAGACTGTGAAGGACTCCGAAACGACTGTCCTCCCGACGTGCACAGTCTGGCCGTCTCGTTCGCCAGGCCGTGAAGGAAGGGACCCCCCCCCCCCCCGGTGGTTCGCCACTTTATGTACAACCTTTGCCACCTGTAGCCCAGTGGCCGGGCCAAAGGCGGAAGGGCGCCTCCACTGCGGGGTGCTGTCGGGAGGCGACTCAACCTGCCGTCTGCGATGGGCGGGAGATGCTGTTGTTTGTAGTCATGGCACTGATCTCCCACCTGTAAATGTAAATGCCATGAGACAACACTCCATGAAAGCATGACAAAGTTAGGCAAGTTGGTCGTTGGACTTGCTACCATGGTGTAAGGAACACTGTATTACTCGCGTAATGAACCCCACTCTATTTCAGAAAAGTAGACTGCCAATTTGGTGCGGAGGGTTCATAAAAAAAAGTCGCGGGAGTTATAAACCAGCGAAAATTCTGCATGACGGTTTTCGCTTGTTTTGGCCCGCGAACTGTGCGAAGAATCTTTTTGTAGCCCGAAGCTCTTGTTTTCTTTGTAATGAACGCGCACGAATCAACACCGAAGTGTCGTCCCGCCGCTCGGTTCTCATACTCCCGTGCATGCTCGACCAGCTTTAAGTTTAAAACTAGCCATGTAGCTTGTGTGCCTGCTGAACACGCACTCAGCAGCATGTGTCCTCAACTAAGTTCACTACGACAAACCCGACAATTGAATAGTGCAGCATCGAATAGCGGCGCACAAACGTCGCGACGTGGCGTCGATGCGGTAGGTGCTTTGCAAAGCCTCTGAGATGGGGGGCGCGTGGTGTGTTCTCACACCAAGTGCTCGCCACCTCGGAAACCACGCATTTGTTTTTTGCATTGTTCTAGGGCCGCTGCGCTTGTGTGGCGCTATAATCGAAGAGGTTTCTCCAGCATTCGACAGATGGCGCTCTGCCGCGAAAAAGCGCAACTTTTAAATTTTCATTGACATCGTCCGTGTTTGGGCTGCTCGCAACTGTTTACCATGGTTGAGGAACTGCTTTGACTTTTATTGTGTTATTTTGTTATATGACTTGATATAAAAATACTTAGATCGTCAACGCCACTGGCTATCACACCAAAATAATATGAACAGATACATTAGGAACACTTTTTTTTTCTTTTTTCGAGCACCAAGGTGGCGGGTGGGTTCCTTATGCTAGTGGGTTCATTAGCGAGTACATAAATACAATATTTTTCTCAGGTCCAAATACTTCTCAGCTAGCATGCAAGCTGCTTTTGACCAGATAAAGAAACTGGGGCACGCCTCTGTTCGGCCCAGGGATGGCAGGGGGTATCTATTAGGAGGGCAGACGCAACCTAGACAGAAAATGCTTTTTGCAATGTTGTTATAGCAACCGACACAGCCCGCAGCAACGGCGACAGTTCACCATATGTCAAAGTTTTCACTCGCAAAAAACACTGTGTGCGTTGCCAACTTGAATTGCTGGCGTGCCATAACTACATTCACAGACTGAGAAATTCATATCTTCCGCAAAGTACCAGTTGCTAAGAGAACATGTTCTTGTCTTGAACTTGTGCCATGCCCGTCGATCGGTATCCGCTGCAGTCAGCAGACCGACGGGCGCGAGTGGCGCTGTTACCTTATCTGACCGATTTCATCTCTCGATTGTCCTCACCTAGAGGGTAAACGTACTATATCTTACAACATACTTTCTGTGTAGAAGAGGCAAAAAAAGGCACAATGGAGAATAGATGCAGGACAATGCAGAATACAACAACAGGATGGTGCCTTGTCCCGTGTTTTTATTCTGTGTAGTCTTTTCCAACCCACTTTTATTTTATAAATGCGTCGATAATTGCGCTTATGTTTCCTTTGCAACCGTCACTGTTATACCGTGTAGCTCTCAGCATAACTGAAAAGTTTAAACTATTTGTGTACAACGCCATGAAAAGTCGCTAAGTAGAATCTCATTAAATAGATGCAAGTAGAACCTCGTTGATACGCTTCCGCTTGATACGATTGCCCGGCTCCTACACTCGAAATAGCGAAAACTAGAAATGCATCCATAGAGCCATGCGTTATTACATTCCGCTTGATACGTTCCCAGAAAATACGATCATTCGGCAGCAAGGATCGACACAGCAGTCATGTGATATTTTCCGCAAACAAAAAGTCTCACTCAGGTGTGAAAAAAACCGCTCTCGCGTGCTTGTGAAAACCCAAGCGGCAGACGGTCATCGAGGTGATGGTGGTTTTTTTGCACACACACACATGCGCAGACCTGTCTGAGCCGTTAAAGTCTTCAAATGGTTTTCGAAAAATGCCCGTTATTTCCTGCAGCACAGTGGTTTTCTTTCTCAGCTGGCAACTTTGCAAAATATTTAGGCATACTGCAGTTACTCGCTTAATCCACACCCTCTTTTTTTTTTTCGTGGAAAGCAGACGAAGAGTTAGGGGGGTAGAAATATGTACTCAGCAAAAAAAAAAAAAAGGGAAACAAAGTGCCCACAGATAGCAATTCTCATGCTAGCAACTAACTAAAAGACTAAATGCTTTGAGAAGCACTAATCAAGACTTACCTTAACAATAAAACCACAGGTTCAACTCAAGGCAAGATTTATCTGAGGCACAAAAGAGTTTTCGAATACCGTACACGAAGCTTCAGGCATTGCGTTAGCGTACAATGTGAACCTTGGGCTGATGGCCATCTAACACAGAATCATCCACAGTTACCTTTAGTGATTTCGCATCAAAATGTGACCGCTCTCCAGACAAACTTTTGCTCCTGTCGGAGCATTTGTAACACAAAAACACTAAGCAAATGAGGTGCACAAAAAAATTAGGAAATCACTTTCGTTACAGCAGAGTCACAGTGTGTAAGTTTATTGACATCCACGTAGATGTGTATATCAAGCGTGATAAACAAGCGAGGCCCGACAGCAATAACCTTCTACACGCAATTCGGAGTTGCTCCCCAGTGAGCGACTTGACCCACTCTGCGTGAGTGCCATCTATTGCATCAAGCAGAAACAGCCCAGGCAACTGAACACAATCTGGACGCGGCTCCGGGCGCAGTGTCGTCACCGTAACTTATTCTTACACCTATGCCCTGCGCCAACCTTATACACAACAGCTCACCTGATGTCCTGAGGCAAGTGGCTGATGTCCATGCGTGCATCTATGACAGCCAGCAGGCACAGTGTCTTCAGAGTTGGTGCTGAGAAAACACAGGAAAAAATATCGCACCAAGTCAGTGATCTTGTAATCTCCCTAATGGGATTGACAACTGGCCCTGGCCAGAATGTGTGATTAGAAACTGGTGGAAATGAAAGGACAGCAAATTTATAACTGCCAGCCCCCCCTCCTTCTACAACGTGATGCAACACAGATTTGCACGCCCCAAGACAAAAACCTGCCGATGCCCATGAATGAATTATACACACTCAGACACCGTAACAAAATTGCACCTTACATGAAAATAACTTCGTAGGATTCCAAAATTTGCAGTAAATTTTTATTTCTAACTCTATATCTATTACAAGACTATTTTTGCTTTGCTATAGGATACATTTTGTCATATCTGGTTTCTTTATATCGAGGTTTGAATGTAGTGATAGATTTAGCAACGTTTTTTGAAATTTGAGCAGGCCAATATTTTTAATGGCATTTTAAAGTCACAAAGAAAACCACACATCGAGCAGGCTGGCGAAACGACCTTAACGCTGCACTGTGGAGCTCTTTTGTTTGCTGTATAAAGCCAGATGCCTTCATGCACACGATGACAAGTGTTTATCAGTTACAAACGTTCATTGCCGTGAAAAATGTAGGCTCATAGGTGATTTTAATAATAAAAAAATCAACAGCAAAGCTTTCAGAGAGCTTAAGCATCACCTTAAAAACTCTCCGAAATTTGTAGGCGATGCTAAGAGCCGCCCATCAGAACGCAGGCATCATGCCTTGAAACCCAGGCACAGATAACGTGCAACATTATAAGGTGTTGAGTACCGTATTTACTCGCATAATCCTCGCACTTTTTTTTTGCCGGAAAACCAATGCAAAGTTGAGGGGTGCGAGAATTACGCGGGGAAAACTTTCCACGAAAACGTACATAGCGAAAAAGAAAACGAAGTGGCCGCAAATCGGGATTCTCACACCAACTTACAGCAAGCTTTATGAAGTACTAATTAGAACTTACCTCAACAATTAAAGCAGAGGTTCAACACAAGGCAAGATTTATTTGATACACAAAAAGTTGAAGCAAAGAGTCGAGAATTAGAATATCATACGCAAAGCTTTTGGGCTTTGTGGGCATAGCAGTAGCGTTCGTCGCTCAACAGGAGTCCTTAAAAGGTAAGCGTAGGACGTCAGTATTGGGCTGATGGCTATTTAACAGAATGGTCTGCTGTTTTCTTCTGAAGAAATAAAGTTTACCATCAATCCCAGTTTTAGGCACGCAGCAGGCCCAACGCGTCTTGGTGGCTTTCAGCTGCCGTCACCAGTAGCGAACACAAAACTCGTAGACTCCAAAGGGCCTACCGGCGGCCTTGTTGCCGTTGTTTAGTGTGTGATCTGTCACTTGCAACTTAAAGCGGCTGTGTAGCTTCAGTATCGCCCCATAACGTGCCGAGATTACCGACATAACATACAAAACACGCCACAACGCTAAGGTGGCTAGAATGGGGAGGTGTGAAAAACGAGCCGTGTTTTCCTCGCCGAGCGGTGCCGCGGTGCGCGAGATCTCCGCTAGGTCGTGATTTAGCACGGCCATCGCAGGCGACTAGGGACTGGAATTTAAGGGGACTTCTGTATCCATTAGAGTCTCTGTAAAACCTGGTAGAGACCATGGAGGAAGGAAAAAACTTAGGAGAGGCCCTGACGTCACTCGTTGTGCAGCCGTGGTGAAGCCGGAAGTCAGCCGCACTGACTGGGCAAATTCTCCTCTCTTGTTTACATCCGAATGTAAAGCAGAAGGCGTGACTCTCTCTCCGGCTCGGAAATCACGTGGGCTGCGCAGCGCGCGTGTCGTGATGATCTGAAACTACCGTAATTACTCGAATCTAACGCGCACCTTTTTTTCGGTTAAGCGAGTTCATAAGACGCATGAGCGTTAGAAGCGAGTACGAAAAAAAAAAATGAATACGGTCATTCTATTGTCATCGGCATTCCAAAATGGCCGCCCCCACGTGTGACGGCATGGCGCGTCGGCCATTTCTGCCTATGTGTTTCCCATGTGCGGCACTTCGTACGTGTGCTGAGAAGTTTGTCATCTTGATGTGCATTAGCATCGACGGCATGGAAGGGCCGACTCCAAAAACTCGAGGAGTGCACCACAATGCCGCTTTTAAAAGAAAAGTCATCGTGTGTGCCGAAACGGACGTAAATTGGGCTGCATCGCGGTCGTTCGGAGTTCCCGAAACGTGCGTGCGGGACTGGCGGAAACAAAAGCAGAATATCGTCGAGAGCAAAGATTCATGCAAAGGCTTCATTGGACCACAGCAGGGTCGGTTTCCATAAATTGAAGAGCTGCTCGGCAAGTATGTGATTGAGCAGTGAGCGGCACAGCGACCCGTGACGACAGAACTGCTCCAAGTGCAGGCTATGGCGTTAGCTTTAGAAAAAGGGCTAATGCGGAGCCAGTTTGAAGCGAGCAGGTGCTGGCTAACTAACTTTATGAACAGGAAAGGCTTTTCCCTCTGAAGGTGAACGGGCATATGCCAAAAGTTGCCAAAGGAGAACGAAGAAAAGCTTCAGTTTTCAGAGGTTCGTCCTAAACTTGCGGCACAACAACGGCTCCCTACTTGGGCAAATCGGGAATGCCGATCAGACGTCTTTTTACTTCGACATGCCTGGCACCACAACCATCGAGAAGAAGGGGGCGAAGCAAGTTCGTGTGCGGACATCGGGCCACGGTAAAACTAGAGTGACGGCAATGCTCCTATGCACGTCAGATAGGCACAAGCTTCCCCGTACCTCATATTTAAACGGAAGGCGCTCCCGAAAGGAGTCTTTTTCCCGAGTGGTGTGATCATGTGGGCCAACGAGAAAAATGGGTGCGCGTTGCAATCTATGTCTTACTTTCTTTTTTTTTCGTCGTGGAAACCGGGTGCGCGTTACAATCGAGGGCGGGGTAGAATCGAGTAAACACGGTAATGAAACGGGGCTCAACACTCTGGGCCAGCGTGACACCTTCGGCGAAATCATTTCGTCGGAGTATTACCAGCGAGTAACGGCTCACCGCCAACGAAGCAAGTACAAGAGAACGCGGGCTAGATGCACTGACAACGGCGAGTGTTTTCACGTCATTATTTCAGCAACTTTACAGATATCACGATCGGTCGTGCCTCTTCTATGGTTGCATTCCGACACGAGGCCGACGGAGCGCCCGGCCACTGAGCCCATCTTCCACGTGAAACTCACCGACGTCAGCATTCTGCGACCGTGGTGCTTTGAGCACGGTGCAAATGACACTTGAACGCGGTTGCTCTAACGCTGAGATTACAATGCTGGGGGCGAGTATAACAAGCGTAACAGAAAAGTTGTTTTATTATGCACATAGAAGTTGTTACTACATGTACACATACCGAACACGAAACTATGTATGTGCACATAGTCTTCATTGTGTCTTGCTGGGCACAATTAACAGTTTCGTCCGTTGTCACAAGCAGGAGCACTGCCCAACCGCCACTGACCTGCAAGGCGTTCATCGTCGTTCCTCTTCGTCACGGGGCTCAACGCAATTTCGCTGAACACTTCAAATGCCTCATCCGCCGCACGACACATGGATATGCGCTCGTTCTACGCACTGTTCAGGCCCCGTGGTAGACTAAAGGTTTTGTAGATACATTGCTAAGAGTACAGTAACTGCCAGAGTAACACCGAGTAACCAATTACGCCGCGCAGAGCACGGATATTGTTCGCCATAGCTCAGCACGAGACCTGTGGGGGCACACATGCCGCCGCCACCAGCCGCGGCCGCTCACTGCTAAACCAGCTACACTGCGCAACACGTAACCATAGGTACGCTACCACTGTGCCTGCCCAGTGAATATGGCCACAATGATGTCATTTCCTCCACTCTTTTCCCGTAGCGCGCCGGATGGGAATGCCCTCTCCTATCTTTCCGTCCTCCGTGATAAAAACCAAATTGACAAATGTGTTTAGCACAGTGCACCTGCATTCAAATTTAGAAGACAGTCTTCTGCGATTTCTAAGCAGTTTCCCGAAATTGGCTGCATTGAACATTGCAAAGAATTATTTGAACAAAGAAGTGGTCAGATTATTTTGCATGACGAGAGTTCTTTTTTGTTGTTGTTGTTGTTGAAGGGTCTGAACCAAGCAGAAAGCGAGAAAAAGTCAAGCGATTGAAGCCCTGTGTCACGTAAAAAAATGTTTGTAAGTGACTTACTGTAATAAATTTTGTTGCAGCCATGAAACTAAGTGTTGTCTCAGTTTCTTCATGTTTCAGAATACTGCCTCAAGTGTAATACTAAGCGAGCATTGAGAAAATGGCAATGTGTAACTGCACTTGGTAAATCGCACTGTCCAGGCCGATTTAGCAGCAAACAATGTCACAATCTATCGCGAGTTAGCACAAGGTAATGTTGGCAAACTAACATCGTCAAACATACCACGCTTCGCTAAACAAGCTTTTTTTTTTACTCTGCTAAGACTTAGCTTATTGTTATAGAATATAAAATTGTTTTGGTTTCAGCAAGCATATAAATAGTGGTGCTGTCGGAATGACCATCCGTCGAAAACTTTGCTCTAATAGAATGTTCGTTCAGCAAAAGATGCATGTATTGATAATTGGGGAAATTGCTGTTTCATATTTACTTTGACAAAGCTCTTGTACCGGCGAAAAACTCGCAACAACCATCGTGGGTGCATTGCAACGGAGAAAGCTGGCAGCACCTCCGACTACAGCGCCACCGCTGCAGGCTCGTGAGCGGAAGCCACCTTGAAGCGGCCGGTTTTCACAGCTCTCAATTATAGACTCCCTAGAACGCTCACCGGCCACTTCGGCTTGGCTTGGATTGGATTGAATCTCCGTGCAATAGTACGCTTGATGCTCAAGAGATGGCATGCTATCATCATCAGTGGCAGGAACGAGCAGACGACATCATTGTGGCAGTTTTCGGGGGTGCGATAATTACTCGAGGAAAAAAAATTGTATTTTTCTTGGGCGATGTGGGGGTAGAGAATTATGCGAGTGCGAGGATTACGCGAGTAAATACATATAATGTGCAATATATGACAGGCTGCCTTTACATGAAGTGACATTTCAATCAATAAATCAATCAATCAAAAAAACTTTATTGGTGCCATGACGAATACAGTATTGCATATAACATTTAGGCTAAATGATAATTCGGCATTTTGTACAGCTTGAATAAGCTGTGGCCACCTGTACAATAGCAGTGACAGGATGCTCTTCTTATATAGTTCTTACATAGAACAAAAGAAGTGTGCATTAAAGGGCTCATTTTTTTCGTTAGACACAATATTGATTAGACACATTGGAGAATCATGCGTAATTTGGAAGTTTCCAATACAGTTACCTAAACAGGTCAAGTGAGCCTTTGTTACAACCTAAGACATCACTGGGTATTTTTTCCTGTCCTGGTGCTTGTCTTATGAAATACGCCCTGGCGATTGCCAGGTTGTATTCGAGGGGTAGTAGGGAGCAATTGAAAGAAAAATTATAGGGGCAACCATAAGAGACAAGAAAAGAGCCAAGTGGGTCAGTGAACAAACCGGAGTTAAGGATATCATAGTTGAAATCAAGAAGAAATGGGTATGGGCCGGGCAAGTAGCGCGTAGGCAGAATAACTACTGCTCATTAAGGGTAACTGACTGGATTCCAAGAGAAGGCAAGCCAGTTAGGGGGAGACAAAGTTAGGTGGGCAGATGAGATTAGGATGTTTGTGCATATACAGTGGCAGCAGCAAGCACAGGACTGAGTTGACTGGCGGAACATGAGAGAGGCCTTTGTCCAGCAGAGGGCGCAGGTCAGGATGATGATGAACATGATAATTTGAGGGGTGCGTGTCTATCTTTAGCACATCTAATGAACATCTGCTTCGTGACTACACGTCTCTTCAAGACAGCCCATGCGGGGCAATGCAAGCACTGTAGGAGCCAATGTGAGGAGAATGCACTGCGGCATCGACAACTCACCAAAGTCAAGGACGTGCAGATCCGAGTGATCCATGAGAGTCAGGTCGTTGGGGTCAAACTCTTCCATCCGCTGCCTGGCAATCTGATTTGGAGTTGGACTGCACAGAGGAGCGATAGAACGTACGAGGTTGACAACAGTGAAATGGAAATTGCCTAAACGATCTGACTGGAGAGGGTTAACACTTAGAAGCAAGTTTCTGCCACCTCAATCAGAAGTGCTTTTTCGTTACAATCATCACGTCACTATGTACCTTAAACAAAGGCTCCTTGGGGACCACCATAATACTTTCTGGGCTGTAGTTAACATACATGACCCCCCCCCCCCCCGAAAATGCACTGCTGAGGCTATGGTGTCAGTTTTCATACACCAAAGCAACAGACCAAACACGAGGTGACCCTTCTCTCTGTTGAAAAGGTCTCTATTGTCGCGATGTACTTGCTAGCGCAGAATGTTCGTTTATTGGTACACTAGGATGTCAAACCCAACCAATCAATGGGAAGAAGACTTCGCCGTCGTTTTTACTTCATCCTGTTCCCCGTTTCACAGAGCACGTGCAAGATGATCATCCAGGAAACCGCATAGCACAATCTCATCTCGTGCCCATGGCAATACTGTAATACATGCTTATTCCTTTATATTGAATGGGTATCATTTACAAAAAGTTACACTCAGAGCTTATTATAACAATGTCACATCTGCCGCAAAAATAGTTCACTATATCGGAAAATTCATTATAAATGATTATTTGTAATACTCTTTACCATAAACTATTGGTTACTTTCTTTGTTATAATCAATAATTCATTATACCATGGTTTGAGTTACCACCAGCTCGAGAAGACCCTGCCAAAATAAAGAGAAACTTTTCAATTGTTTTAGACTACTACAGTGTAGACCACTTATAACGTAACCGCTTATAGTGCAGAACCGGGTACAGTGCGGTCTTTTTCAACCTCGGTTTACCCTCTCATAGAACCCTATGCATACGCATACCACCTATTGTGTGGTGGCCCAAGATGAAACACCGGTTATAATGCGGCTGCCAGAAAATCATTGCGACAAAGGCGGTGAAGAGTGCCCGTCTGAAAGGAGGCGCGCTGGATGGACCGCTGAAAAGCAAGCGACAAGGTTGTTATGGAGGAGGAGGAACGCGGAGTGAGCGAACGAAGGGCACAGAAAACAAAAAAAAACAAAAAACGCGGGCTAGCCAAGTGAGAGGGTGGTTGCTTCGGCGACGGATAAGCCTTTGCACCGGCACCGATTATGGCGTCGTTAGCATGGCTCCAGCCGTGCGCGGCTCAACATGGCACCTGCGATCCCGTCCTTACCAACCGCGTTTATTAGTTTCCTGTTGAGAAAAGCGTCATCGCTATCGAGCTTGCTACACATATCGTGTCTGCTACACGAATTTCTGCTTTTCTGTCAGTGTGCTGTCATATGTAAGCTTGAAGTGTTTTCATCGTTGATCTCCCGAACGCGACAGCAAACTTCGTAACATGCACGCTGCTCTTGGTTCAGTGCTTGATGCGATCTTTTTGACACCGGATATTCACGTTTTGGACAAACTTCCCGCGACAACATAAGGAATGGCAGGCTAGGCCTTATCGGCATTGGTTACTTTTTGGTAGTGGTTGCGTGCTATCTAAGTCTTGGTTTGGTATGCAATCAAGAAACTTTTTGCGGTGCCTGCAATTGATGGGAAGGAGTTAAAGAAAATACTACAAGTGGCACGTGCAGCGCTCGAATGGTGGTTCACGATTCAATTGCGATGTCTTGAAATCAGGTGTGCTCCCGTGAAATCGAACGATTGGAATCTTTCAGCACGTGAAATTTGGGACATGACTCGACATAGTTTCTGTGTAATGCGCATAATGGCAGTCTGAGAAGTTAGTGAACTAATTTTCGCGATTGTGCTTTTTCTTTTGTTATCCCCCCCCCTTTTTGGGCATTCATTTCATTGGCAACGTGTGTCTTCCGAAGTTTTTTTTGTTGTTGTTGTTTAACACTGAAATTTTAATGATTGTAAGCACCACGCATCGCATGCTTCGCTTCTCGGACACACGAGGCTGTATGCTCAATACGTTTGGCGCAAGTGCAGCTCTTGAAAATGGCTGTCTTGGTTATAATGCAATACCGCTTATAGTGAGGATATTCGCGACTCCTGCGACTTATGTTATAAGCGGTCTACATTGTATTCTGATAAGATTGCATGCATGACACAAGTAGCCAAGTTTACTGTAGAGCTAACCTGACCCCAGCGATAACGCTAGACTATTCAATCACTTCATGCATAAAAGAAAATGCGTTCCACTGACGATCGCATTGCCAACAACCAATGTCCGTGCTCACCATTATGACTGCACAGAGTGTGTTGCTTTATGACTGCACAGAGAGTGTTGTTTATGCTTAACATCTTTCGTTCACTGGGTACAAGATTGCCCAATAAAGTGTTTAACCTTTACAAGCAGCGCTTCCTTTTCTTCACCATCACAAACCACATAATGAACCTCAGTATACAGATATTTCTGGTGTAATGGGCCTTTTCTCTTCAGCTGTTGACTGCATTGAAGGGCATTAATATTTATTTTATTTATATAAAAATACTGCCAATCCCTTGTTGGGATTTTCGCAGAAAGGACATCGGGAAAACACACAATAAAAGCACACAATAAAAACATCCGTAAGTTATACATCGTTTAGGATACGCGTTACATTGATGCTACCAAGTTCTCACAATTTCTAACAATCAAATTCAAACAAATTCTAACCAAATTCTAACAATAAAGTTCTAACAGTAATTGTACTATATCCAAATGATTACAGTGTGGAAGAGTCAAAATAACACAGTCTAAAACAATGGATTTTGCAAAGATGACCACAATAGTGCAATATTAGGGTTCCAAACGCAAATGTTCTTCAACAAGACGTGAAAAAATATTTAAAGAATTGCTGCTAGTAATCATAGCTGCTAAGCTGTTCCATTCCCTTATTGATGTTGGGAAGAATGAGTGTTTGAAACATTCCGTACGGAATGCGTATTCTTGTAGCATTTCGGGGTGCTTCTTACGGGTGGGTCGTGATTGTTGAAGTGTAATGTACCTGGAGGCATCGATGTTGGTTTGCTTATGGCGTAGCTGGTACATGAATCGTAGGCGTGCTAGTCTTGCTCGTTTTTGCAGCGTTAGCATGCGCGCTTCTTCGAGCATTTCAGTTGGTGAGTCTGTTTGCCTGAACTTGTTAAAGATAAATCGAACAGCTTTTCTTTGCACGGCTTCTAGCTTCGCCATATGTTTTTTTGTGTACGGGAACCAAACAATGTTCGCATATTCAAGAACAGATCTCACGTACGTGTTGTAGGCTAACAGTTTAATTTCAGAAGGTGCTAGTCGAAGGCATCGTCTCAGAAAAAAAAGTCGTTTCAGTGCGGTAGCTGTAACGTTAGAAAACGTGGGCATCCCATCTTAGATCGCTAGTAAAGGTGAGGCCAAGGTACTTATGATGACTTGTTCTAGGAAGTGGGATACTATTGATGGTATATGAGAACTTTGACCATTCCCTTTTTCTTGTTACTGTCATTACAGCTGATTTTTTAACATTAAGTATCATTTGCCAATCTGAACACCAGTTTGATACTATTTCGAGGGCTTTGTTTAAGGCAAGATGATCTTCTGCAGAGTTTATTTCATGATAAATTATACAATCATCCGCGAAAAGTCTGACGTGGACGGGAATTTGACAGGGTAGGTCATTGATAAAAATTAGGAATAAGGTCGGAGCAAGAACACAACCCTGGGGAACACCGGATTTGACGGGAACTGTTGTGGATACTTGTCCATTGAAATCAACAAATTGTGTGCGACCGGTAAGATAGTTTTTTATCCATTTCGTAACGAAGCCATTGCCTAAGGTACATTCTAACTTTTGTACTAGTTTTTTAGTTTTTTATGCGAAACCTTATCAAAGGCTTTTGCAAAGTCCAATAGGATAAGGTCAACCTGTTTTTGGTTGTCCACACTTAAGGATAAATCATGGGTTAGTTCTGTTAGTTGCGTGACTGTAGAAAGCCCCCTACGGAAACCGTGTTGAGAAGGCGACAGGATGCGTTCGTTTTCAAGATATATATTGATATGTTTTAAGATAATATGTTCAAGAAGTTTGCTGCAAGTGCAAGTAAGAGATATAGGCCTGAAGTTATTTACGTCATCTTTTGGGCCTGATTTGTGTATCGGTTTAACTTTCGCTTTTTTCCAATCATCCGGTATGATGCATGTTGCTAGGGATTTATCAAATATGATGCACAGATATTTTGCCATCCACTCCGCATATCGGTTGAGAAACAAATTTGGAGTGTTATCTGGTCCTGAGGCTTTTTTTGTGTCAAGTTGGAGGAGCAGATGAAAGATACCTTGTTCGGTTATCACAGGCAGTTCCAATGGTTCTTTGTTCAAAATGTCGATTGGTGGTTGATTGCCGTCATCGGCCGTGAAAACTGATTGGAAGTGCTCATTGAGCGAAGAAGGGGTAATAAGGCCATCTTGAGGATGACTAGCGTTTTCGCTAGACTTTGAATTTTTAAGAAAGCCCCAAAATTTTTGCGGCGAGTTTTTGATGAAACTAGGAAGGGTGTTAGTGAAATAGTTCTTTTTTGCGGTTCTTATTTTTTATTTCATGTCGGTGATGGCAGTTGTGAGAGCAGTCTTAGAATTGCTTTTACTTAGTTTTAGGGATTTCCTGAGTCTTTTAACTTTGCGTTTCGCGTGAATGATATCACGATTAATCCAGGGATTATATTTCTTTGATCTTTTTGTTTTGTTTGGTACATATAATTTCATACAGTGCGTTATGGTATGTTTAAATTTTAACCACAATTCATCGACACTTATGGATGCGCGTTTCGAATCTTCTTCAAACGGTGCTAATTCCATTGATAGATGATCAATTATGCTGGTGTCATCTGCATTCTGAAAATCTGGAACGTTTTTTTGCGAGTGGCAGTGGCTTTTTTTGGCACAAATTGATGCGCTGCACACGATTAGCTTGTGGTCCGATATCCCATCGAGAATTTCAACACTGTGTTTGTCACTTGGAAAATGGTCGCTTAAGAATACCAGGTCAAGTATATTGGAGCTCTCCGCCTGCACCCGTGTTGGCTCCATTATTATCTGATTGAGGTTAAAAGATAGCATTGCATCAAAAAGGGTTTCTGAGTTTAAGCACTCGTGCTGCATGGTCCGCCAGTTTATGTCGGGCAGATTAAAGTCCCCAAAAGGATTAGTCTCTTGCCTTTCACATTGCGCTGCATGTATGCGTGCAGTGATTGCATAGCGATATGGTCTGACCCTGGACTGCGATAAACACAACCAACTACGATTGAAAATGAGCCGCACAATAAATTGCAGAACACCGCTTCAGCACCCTCAACAACAGGCATCTGTGTGAATCGAATACGTTTGTTAATAAGAATGGCAACTCCACCACCGCGTGTTGCTCGGTCCTTTCTCACAATGCAGTAGTTTGGAGGTGCTATTTCGGCGTCTCCAATCTCGTTTGAAAGCCACGTTTCCGTCACAGCCAAGAAGTCAGGGTCGACAGTAAGAAGTACTGATTCTAGCGAGTCGAGTTTGTTCAGTATGCTGCGTGCATTCACATTGACAAAAACTATTTTGGACGTGGTTGATGGCGGCGAGTGCGCATGGGTAGTGTTCCTTCTTGGTTTTTCGGGTTTTTTTGATTGGAGGGAGCATTGCGTTCTGTTTTGATCTCAACCTTATCGCCCGCGGCATCATCCCAGCGGTAAAGTACTCGATTGATACTAATCTTGTCGTATACCAACCATACTTTGTCACCAGATTCTTTGTTAGATTTGGCGCTATCCCACAGCTTTTTCCTTATGCTACGAACACGAGCTGAAAAGTCTTCACTAATCGCTAATTTAGTTCCTTTGAGCTTTTGGCAGTTTTTTAGGATTTTAGGATGTGTTATTTCTTGCTATTTACCACAGTAAACTCAAATGAAGATTTCACGAGGTTGATCGATGGATTTGATTGATTTGTGGCGTTTAACGTCCCAAAACTACCATACGATTAAGAGAGACGCCGTAGTGGAGGGCTCCGGAAATTTTGACCACCTGGGGTTGTTTAACGTGCACCCAAACCTGAGCACACAGGCCTACGACATTTCTGCCTCCATCAGAAATGCAGCCGCCGCAGCCGGGATCTGAACCCGCGACCTGCGGGTCAGCAGCCAAGTACCTTAGCCACTAGACAACCGCGACGGGGCGAGATTTCACGAGGGAAAGAGCGGATTCGGACAAGATGTACGACCATGAAAATGCACTGTGCAGGTAAAGCTGGCAAAAATTAAAAACTTTTTTCCGGCATTCGCTTGCAGGATTTTAAGCTGGACGGTTGTGCCCTCGCGATCTCCGACATCAGCGTAGCTCCCGCCGACTGGTTCGCCCTCCGCGGTCTCCTGACGCCGTGAAGCTCTCGCATTGTGGCACCCCGCCCTTGGACTGCTTCGACCGGATCCCCACTTTCCTATCTCCTTTTTTTCTCTCGTTGGCTGGCTTCTTCGCCGTCTATTTTCCTTCTATTCTTTTTATCCCTCCTTCTTTTTCCCTATATCTTTTATTCCCCATATCCCATTCCTCTGCTGACCTGTTGAGGTGTCCTCGTAAGGAGAGACAGTTACGGGTCGGCACCTTTCTTTTCTTTTCTTCTGATATAACCACTTATATATAAAAACTTTTTTCCCCTTCACTGGTGCTTTGCACGCGTGGAGTTTCAAATAGGTCGCTTGGTGTTTCACAGCCTAAAGGGACGTTTCGGACTTTCCAGCGACGTGTCCTCATCTCTAACGCCCACACTGCAATATGGCATGTCAAGACCATTATACATTCTCTTGAATTTGTGACAGCCCTCTTGAACGTCAATGAGCACTCGTACTGTTTTATGTTGCTTCTAAAGACAGCTTTAAATATCTGCAACTATGCAAAACGTGGTGGCACATAAAGATCTTTCTATATATGACACACACCACCCTGCAAAAGTGGAGGCCAGAAACCTCCATGCAACAAACATCACAATGAAACATAGCTTTTTGCTCAACGCAAACTCCCTACGTAGCGTTTTGACTGTACAGATATTTTGGTACACTGCAAGCAGACCAACTAACACCAAAACGGACAAAACGGTATTCACTGAAAGTTCACAGTTAACAGTGGTTTGAGAAACTTAAAATGAGAGACGAAAAGAAGATAGACAAGGATGTTGCCGTCGTCTTTGTCTGCTTGTGTCTGCTTTCCGACATCCTCATTGTCCAAGAGGATGTCCTAGGCGACATCCTAGTCGGTCTTTCTTTCATCTCTCGTTCTAAGTTCTGCCGCTCAAACCAGCGCAAGCTTGGTAGGTGAGAACTTCGTCAAGCAGATGGTCGCTTATATTTTCATCTCCTCCATCAATTTTGTATTCATGTAATAAAACCATTATTATTATTATTATAGTACTATACTATACAACTAACACCCATCACAGCTGCAACTATCATAGCGCCTACTCACCTTGTGCCACCAAAGAGAAACAGCCGGTCACCAACCATGCAGCAGCACTGGCGCCTCCTGGCACAGGGGCCCTCCCGCTGGATCTTCACCTGGCTCCAGCACGAGGTCTCTGCAGGAAAAAATTATTTCATTTGTAAGTGAAGTTTCCCGGAGTTCGGAGGCAGCAACATTTACGAAAAATACGGCAACAGCAAGCGTACAGCGACGAGGCTTTCGAAAGGACCAGCGGTCCCACACGTATATTTGTACGTGCCATTTCCAAATATTCGATGCTTCCTCAATCGTGGGCTTGACGGCAATCAACCGTTTGGGATAGAGCAATCTGACCTCTTATCGAGGTGATGTGTTATTTCATGTTGTCACATTTCCTTTTTAGCATTTTGTTGTTTCACATATGACCACCCCTGTTACCGGCTCTGCTGCATTGGAAGTCTTAAACTGCTAAGCATGTCGGTACATGTCGAATTCTCCACATGGAGGAAAGAAAAGGTTGGGAAGGCACATTGCACAATGTGGCAGAAAGAAGACAAAAAGCTGCAGGTCACACACACATACAAAAGCTTTGCTTGCCTTAGCTTTCCTGATAGAAGAAAGAGCTATTTGCTCAGCTTGCCTGAGAGCTAGAACGACCGAAGCTATCACAAATGTAGTGGGTATCTGACAAGGTTTTCCATGATAGTGTCTACATACACGAAACGCATACAGGGACAAACATTTTTCACTCATAACTTGTCCCTGCCCCTGCTTCCTTTTCGCACAAGGCAACCCAACATTATTTCTTTAAAAACCGTTACTTACACACACTCAAATAGGTACACTGTTTCATTAAGATTAATGTGTGTGTCACAAACGACTCCAATTTTTGGAGCATCCGCGGGCCCCACCTACCAAGGAAGGGCGCTTTTGTGTTGGGGGACGACATCCGGCGACTATAACGACCCAGCGTGGTGCCGGCTCGTCTTCCCTGCACCGATACCGGAAGGGGCACCGGCGATCTAAACAAGGAAAATTACTCCCAGATGAGACGGGAGCACGTGTACGCCCCTGAGGCGGTTTGAACTGCATCGGAAGAGCAGTTGACGTACAGCCAGCAACAAGTGCGGTCGTCGGTGTCGCGAGTCTCGCGCAGGCGGCGAGCATGGAGTGACCCGCGCAACGTATTGAGACGGCTGCAATTCCGGGCACTCTCGTCGTCTACCAAGCCGGCGAGACCTTCAGCGGCACCCGTCAACTCCCCTACGTGCACCAAGAGCTGGCCTGGTCCGTATGGAACTTTTTATTGTGACTTTTTTTAAACTGCTAAATTGTTTTAACCAGCCTTTTTTTTAAACTGTGTAGCTGTGTGCGCTGCGACGCACATAAAAATTCAAAAGCGCGACCAAGGATCATTCTGTAATTATTTCCTTGTAACCCTTTTTTACGATTTCTATCTTCTTGTTATTTTATTAATGTTCCGCATATTTGTCTTTAGCCTGTATCTTTTGTAGTGTTTTTAGCACATTTTGCTATATATAGCTGTTGTTTCTATCGCGCGTATCAGTTTTCCTCCTTTGTTATTTTTGTAATCTCCAGCCTTTTCCCCTGTTTTAATTAAATGATTGTTTATGTGTAATCAAACTCTGTGTCTGCTCTATGAGTGCGTCGGTCAGGCCCATACAGCACCACACGTGCAACCCCGCACGGGTCGACCAACCCGCAAATAAATTCGAAATGTGCCACTTCGAGGCCTTTCAGGCGTCGCAGGCCGAAGCGTAAAGTGGAGGCCTGTGAGTCTGCCGCACGTCGATGTTGGATCGGCGGGGCCTCACACGAAGTGTGTGACATTATCTGGCGTCCACGCGACAGGACTGGCCGACCACGTGGTGATGTCTGGGAGACTGACGTAACTCTGAGCGTTCAGTGTGTAGCCGGTCTGTTATTGCTTTGTTGGTTGACAACTGTGTATGGTAATGGACGGCACGGTGTTTGACAGGCTTATTGAACAGGGCAAAGCCTTTGGCTTTGTAGGCAAGCAGTTATATAATTTCGTCGAAAAAGAACGAAATAGACTTAAAGAGGAGCGCGATGCCGAACGCATTAGGTACAGGCAACATCTGGAATTGTTGATGGAACAGGAGCGAGAAAATTCAAGGCATAGAATTCAGAAGGAAAAAGAGCGCTTGGGACTGTGTGTGGCACAGTCGGGTCTTAGCTTAGACACTAGAACGCCCAGTAGCGTGACCGACCGTGTCACGAACAGGCAGTCTTACCAGGATCATGTTCAGCTACTACGCCAGAAAATGGAAGGTAGACGGCGCATGTTTGAGACCTGGGATGCAAGGCACAAAGGGGGCAAAGAGACCGTAGGTGCCAAACCACTGAGAGCCGGGCAAAAATAGTGTACTGTTGAGGCGGACACCAGGTTCGCGAGTGAACCTACTGAGTTAGCTGCAGAGAGTCCTGTTGTGGCCCCAAAGGCCACTGAAGGCCGCAGTGATGGCGACGAGGCGCTGTGCCTGGAAAGTCTTGTCGATACAGAAATGCCATCTGTGATTGACTTGGCACAGCCACCCTGTATGGGCGTCGCCATGGCAGCTAACTGTGATGTTCACAGTACAACCGGCCCCGCAGACGAGGACCCCTGTACAGACGGCGGGACAGAAGCGTGTGCTGACGCACACTGCGAGATGGGCAATGTTGGGGCAAGTAGTTCTCCCAGGTGCGAGCGGCGCAGCCCTGAGGAAGACGCTTGCATTGTTCAGCCGTCGGTCAATTTTCCCGCAAGTCAGGGTGTCAACAAATTAACAGAAAATCCCGACTGTATAGACGTTACAGCCGATGAGACAGGCGAGACCAGTTCTGCTCTGCTAATGTTGCAAGCGGACTTCTCAAAAGTGAGCACTGGACAACGTCCAAAAAGAAAAAGACGCCGCACAAGCAAAAGGAAAACCAAGGGTGCAAAGCAACCCGGAAAATCGCTAATTGCCAAACAGCAATCGAGGCAACGAAAGCTTCGATTGCATTTTGTGGCATTCGCCAAACGAGTGGGTTCCTATGCTTCAAACCGCCCGACAGATAGGGGGGTGAGGCAGACATTTGTTCGTGGAGCTTGAAAGAGCCAACCCCCTTTGCTCCATTGTCCTGCTCGAAATGCGGGGCGCCTGGCGAGGCAGCGCCTTTCGGCCGAACGACACGACGTGGTTCGGAGACCCGTTTCCGTAGAACGTGGTGTCGATGAAGGCATGCCTCCAAGGTGTAGACTAAAGGGAAACAGGTGTCCGTGTAGCAGCCGTACACTCTTTTGTCTGCCCTGGTTGCTTGGAGCGGCTCCCCCAAGAGCGCGACCGCCTCGAGCACGGATAAAAGTTATGTATATGTACATAGAAACGTAAACGTAACCTTCAAGGCTAATGAGATGTTGTCTGAAATACTGTTCATCGTTGTCATTCGATTGTGAAGCACATAGGGTGTTCAGAAGATGTAGGGGCAGATTACATGATCCGAGTCGGCGATGAAGAGGCCTGCGTGTACTTCGGTTCAATGAAACGCGGATGATCGCGTCGCGCATAAAGGCCTATAACATTCGCTTTATTTGGTTTCTGTTTTATTCATGCCATAAGGCCACATTTCTAAAAATTTTTTTTGCATACATGGTTGCTTCGTACCTTCTTAATTTTGTCTGAAACCTTTTTGTATCACTTTGACTTCGAATTGCTCGGTAATTGTTTTTCTACTTGTGGATTTGGAAGAATTATGTGTAGTGATTATCTTGTGATCCGTGTCATGATCGCCAGAAGGGGTGCTTCGAATACAGCTCCCTCGATTCTAGCAGTGTGGGTTATTTCATATTTCATGTGTGTGTCCGTGTCGTGGTGCGCGGGTTATGACATTCATCGTATGATGACCATGAAAGTGTAGTGTATCAGATGTTCTCTGCGATGTCGTCCACATCAGTGAAATGGTGCGCGAAAAAGAAAACGCTTTGGTGGACGACCGAAACACTGAAAGCTCGCGAACATTGCGCGTTTGTGATTTTCTTGAATATTACACAGCAATATTCTTGAGAAGGGGGCTGTGTCACAAACGACTCCAATTTTTGGAGCATCCGCGGGCCCCACCTACCAAGGAAGGGCGCTTTTGTGTTGGGGGACGACATCCGGCGACTATAACGACCCAGCGTGGCGCCGGCTCGTCTTCCCTGCACCGATACCGGAAGAGGTACCGGCGATCTAAACAAGGAAAATTACTCCCAGATGAGACGGGAGCACGTGTACGCCCCTGAGGCGGTTTGAACTGCATCGGAAGAGCAGTTGACGTACAGCCAGCAACAAGTGCGGTCGTCGGTGTCGCGAGTCTCGCGCAGGCGGCGAGCATGGAGTGACCCGCGCAACGTATTGAGACGGCTGCAATTCCGGGCACCCTCGTCGTCTACCAAGCCGGCGAGACCTTCAGCGGCACCCGTCAACTCCCCTACGTGCACCAAGAGCTGGCCTGGTCCGTATGGAACTTTTTATTGTGACTTTTTTTAAACTGCTAAATTGTTTTAACCAGCCTTTTTTTTAAACTGTGTAGCTGTGTGCGCTGCGACGCACATAGAAATTCAAAAGCGCGATCAAGGATCATTCTGTAATTATTTCCTTGTAACCCTTTTTGACGATTTCTATCTTCTTGTTATTTTATTAATGTTCCGCATACTTGTCTTTAGCCTGTATCTTTTGTAGTGTTTTTAGCACATTTTGCTATATATAGCTGTTGTTTCTATCGCGCGTATCAGTTTTCCTCCTTTGTTATTTTTGTAATCTCCAGCCTTTTCCCCTGTTTTATATAAATGATTGTTTGTGTGTAATCAAACTCTGTGTCTGCTCTATGAGTGCGTCGGTCAGGCCCATACAGCACCACACGTGCAACCCCGCACGGGTCGACCAACCCGCAAATAAATTCGAAATGTGCCACTTCGAGGCCTTTCAGGCGTCGCAGGCCGAAGCGTAAAGTGGAGGCCTGCGAGTCTGCCGCACGTCGATGTTGGATCGGCGGGGCCTCACCCGAAGTGTGTGACAGTGTGTATAACAAGAAATTGAATGAATAAAAATAAAAAACAGGCCTGTTACACTCACCCGGGTCATACTTGTGCATGTCACCAAAATGGGTCAGCAGGAGTCCATTGTAGCCCCCAAAGATGTACAGCTCTCCATTGTACACAACTGCGTGCGAAAAGATCGAACGCAGCTGTGACAGGGCTACGTATGGGTTAGAAAAACAAACAAATAGGTCTCATAATAAACCACACAAAGGAAGCCTTAACAGCTGCTCACTCGAAGAAGTCCAAAAACAAGAAAAAAAGAAAGACAAGTGGCAATCATGCTAGCAACAGAATAGGCATCACACTGGCGTACAAGTCCATGCAAAGCTATGGAAGCTTTGTTGGTGCAGAAGAAAGCACACCATCCCTTGCAGCTGATCGGGTACATTCAGAGATAAATCAAACTAATGAGAACTCATCAACGTCAATCAGTGCCTCATTCGTTCTTTTGTCGTCCCTGTCTTAGCATTTGCACTGCAGTTACTGATGCCTCTCAGGCTCAGGCTGCTCAAATTTTAAAGTTTCCAATTAAATTTAATTAGAAAATGTATTAGCTATGCAAACTCATCCTCAACTGACCCTATTCAGAAGACTGGCATTCAAGCGATGACATCTCATTTCTTGCTCTTTGCATTAAGTCGACTCGGAATGGCTGGTGAAAACGTGAATTGACTGTGTGCCTCTGTTGCCAGAGTTCGATGGATGTATTAAATAATGCAGTTGCAGTGACTAGCCAAAACAGTGGACGCTTAATACCCACGTTACTACGACCTGCTGATCTGCAGTAACATATAGTGCAAAAGTAAATAGTAAGTCCTACACGTACGTAGCAGATCAGTATTAACATTTCACATGAGCAATGATGGAAGCTACGTTTTGATTTTTGGAGCAGATTCTAGAGCAGAAAGAATGGAAATTTAGAGAAGCCATCAATTTTTTCAAAGCAGAATAAAATGCTATTTTTGAGCAACTATTGATGTTTTGGGAGCAGATGGCAAAAACATTTCAAACGACTCTGGAATTTAAAGCATTATCTAAACTTTAAATATGAACTCCATGTTATTTCAATACTTATCAAATATATTGCACACACAGTAATCACTCGTAATAGCATGAAGCAAATAATTAGGCAGATGGATGGTCACTGAATACAAAGATCAGCTAGCTATATTCGAAATGCCAATAGTTGTGGTAGATATATAAAAGCGGTAAAGCTGAGCATCAAATTACAAAAGCAGCCATTACCACATGTAACTATTGCCGAAGCAGAAGATTATGATCGGTATGAGTACTGTATGTTCATTTTTGTAGTTCATCGAAACGGCCAGCCTTGAAAAAAATTTCAAAAGCAAATTAAGCTAAATGAGCTGTATACTTGAAATTCTTGACATAAATGAGCTCAAAACTTATAAAGTGGTAAATTTGGTCAGTCTCACACCAAAGTCGTCACAGCAGCAGTTAGTAACCTTGTGATACTCAGCTAATCTCACACACATTTCACGAAAAATAGTCTGCTTGTCAGATATATTGCAATGTTAGTACATGTAGTGTTGTCAAAATGCTAGTATACAACCAGCTTTTGTTTTGGCTCGCTGGGTGGTCGCGCAACTCAAGTTCACCGCTTCAAGTTTCCCCAATGCTGTTTTAGAACAGGTTTGGAGCAGTTACTGACAAAAATAATTTGGAGCAGCATGGACCAGCATTTCTCTTTTGGAGCAGTTGGGAGCAATTGGAGCAGCACTTCCATCACTGCATAAGCAGCCTTTCAAGTGTCAAAATTAGGTCGGAAAGGGTCATTCTGTGGCTTTACATAAACGACTCCCCGGGCCAACTACGTGTCAAAAATGTTCGAGTGGAACACCACGGCAATCAGTAGTGTACTGATCCTAACACATTTTTGTCACCTTGATACTCTAATAGTGTCGAGCGTTCAGTGTTCAAGCAGTCATAAACACAGAGTACTGCTTACTAGCAGAGTTCCTTGCTTAAGATGAGCTGTCTGTACAGCATTCTCGGACCCTGCTGAAGAAGTGTTGCGAGGCCTTTTAAAGAACAGCTCATATTTCATCTTGCTTTAAACTATCTTCTGCACTGCTTGCAGTCTTAAGCACTACTATTAGGGGCCAACTGTAACAGCACAACACCGTTGCCACAGCCATCAAATGAAGCGCCACTGGAATGCACTGTGAACAGCTTCTACTGACGAGCTCTCATGAGATTGACGGGTCATGGGAGAGGCCTTTGCCTTGCAGTGGGTGTAGCCAAGCTGATGATGATGATAAAGCTTTGCTAACTCATTACACAGATAACTCCCTCATTCCTTTGCAAATGAATGATTCTAAACTTCATCACTAGGTGCAAACCATGCGTGGATGCAGTGGACGCTTCTCAAAGAGTTTGCGAATGCTCCAATAAAAGTGCACGCATGAAGCATGTGATGGAGTTCAATCTGATGCGACCATCAGCGATAACATTGGAATGCAAATTCACACATGAGAGCCGACATGTTACACCTACGATTAGATTATCAATTACCAACAACCGAGCCTGCCGTTATAATTGTCCTACAATTATCGTTTTGCTCGCATGTTGAGCATTCCTTTTGCTTTGAATATTCGTAATCATAGTCACACAAAAGTAAGTGCACTACCGTCAAACCTCACAAAAACAATGTTGCCTCTTAGATGACAATAAGTTTGTTATGACTGAAAACTTGTTATAAAGGTATGTTCTTAACATTGTATCTACAGCAAGACCATCCTTCATTTGCTTCGTTAACACTGATATTTCTTCATAGTGCTTCGTTGCATCAAGGCTTGAGTGTATGCAGAACTAAGCCTTTTCGAGATTCAAAATTTTCACAGAAAGGAAAATTGTACAACCACCCGTTTGTAGCAAAAAACCACAAGGAAATATGTATGAATTCCTCCAAAAATAAAAAGCCTCTTGTTGAGAAATTCATCCTAATCCGGGGTAACATATCTTTCTAATGGGTTTTCTTGTGGCTTCGTGCCACAAATGGGTGGCTGTCTAACTTCCCCTTTCTTAACCCTTTCGCCACCTTGCCGGTCTTCGAAGAAGCTATTTCTAAAATTTACACAGACGTTCACTGCAGTTTCTTTTTAAATTGCCTGTCACGCTGAAAAGAATCGGACCAGTGGCCAATCAGCCCCTGCTCCATTTTCGACATTCACCAAACCGGCGCAGGAAGTCCAGCGAGCCAACAGTAGCAACTGCACGCGGCAGTGCAGAGGCAATGCCGAGCTTCACCACTGGCAGCTTCCACAGCCCTGCAGGGACGTACCCTGGACGAGACAGAGCAACGGTGCATTTACGGTACCTGTTGCACTGCGGCGCGTGCACCTCCGTCTTGCCCTTACACCACGCCATATTTTTGCTTCCCTACACTGCCTCCTCCACCTGTGTCAGGGAGACCAGAAGAGGGTCGGCTGTGCCGTAAGTTATCAGTGTGAAATATAAATTTAGTGAAGAAAAAAGAAACATCTTGACAGCAAAGCCTTTGTCCCTGTGACACAATGCTTACTTTTAACAGCAAAAAATAAGAAAAAAAAGTGTTATAAAGGCCCCCAATCATGCACATCGCTGCGAACCTAGAGATCTCGTGCAATCAAGCCAAACCTTCCAGAGACTTATGAACATTACCCAATCATGAGGAAAGCAGAAGCAGCAAATAATACACAATGAAGTTATAAAACAGCTGCATCCTGCAAGTACTTACCTAAGGAGCAGAAAGCTGGAGGCTTACAAAGAGGGTTCAGCTTAAATTGAGGACGACGCAGGGAGCAATGGAAAGGAAAATGACAGGTGTACCGTTGAGAGACAAGAAGAGAGCAAAGTGGGTCAGGGAACAAACCAGGGTCAAGGGTATCGTAGTTGAAATCATGAAGAAGAAATGGACTTGGGCCGGTCACGTAGCGTGTAGGCAGCATAGCCGCTGGTACTTAAAAGGGCCCTGAAACGCTTTTTCAAGTAACCATGTAATGAATTCACTGGAAGAGCTTACAGCCTCACGCATTGAACGCTGCACAAATTTTAAGAATCTGTCCTGTACGAGTGGAGTTACAAAGATTTGTCACACGCTGCAATCACATTCTCTCTTCTCTTGTCCTGACGAAAGCGCTGGAAGCTAAGCAGGAAGGGGTGGCACGGCCACAGAGAAACGCCACACGAGCGAAGTGACCTTGAGCACTTTTCTTTCTGTTTTCCTTCAAGTGCGCGGCTTTTTTAGTGTGATCATGCACGCACGCGTGGACGAGTAGCGGCCTCCCGCAGCGACCTCTGTAACGAGTGAGCGTGCCATCAGCCAATGGCTGATAGATGAGCTTGCTACGTTTGATTTTTGGGTATATTGCGTGACTTGTCGAGAGAAGAGAAAGCAGTTTTTGGCTAAGTTTCATAATTGATTGTGAATTTCAGGCTGCGTGCCGTGCTATAATATTTGGCTCACGAGTTGTCGGGAGCCTCGACTACCGATCGGCAGCGTTTTTGACCATGCTCAAAAAGTGTTGCAGGGCCCCTTAAGGGTAACTGACTGGATACCCAAAGAAGGCAAACACACGAAGGGAAGACAGAAAGTTAGGTGGACCGATAAGATTACACAGTTCGTAGGTATAACGTGGCAGCAGAAAGCACAAGACCAGGTTGATTGGCAATTCGTGGGAGAGGCTTTTGCTTGCAGTAGGCATAGCCAAGCTGATGATGACGATAAAGTTTTGCTGACTCATTACAGGGATAACTCCCTCATTTCTTTGCAAATGAATGATTTTAAGCTTCCTCAGGAACATTGTGGACGCACTACACATTATGGCAGAGGGCTCTGAACCAATTTTGATCACAGGGGATTTCAGTGCGCAGCATGTCTTAGCTCTTAAGCGCTGCGTTACATCCCACATTCTTTGGTGTTGACCCAACATTGTCGTGAACCAGGAATATGCTGCTGCAGTTCTGTCCTCAATAATCCATAGACATATTTCTGGCACTTATACACAACCATGCAAAAAGTGACGAAAAATTCTGTTGGTGCCATGGCTTTGTTTGTCAGTTATTGTTAGTTGCTTATTAATTAATATTCACATCTCACTATTTGCACTTCACAGCTGCACTGGGCATGCACTAAAGCACAGAGAACTTGACTGCGGTACAGTGAACCTCTAATAAGTACTACTTTCTTTACATCGGTAATGACAATATGCGTCACTTCTTGGTTGCTGTATACAAATAGTACTTAGCAACTGAACTTAGTATTCAAAGCAGCATTCGTGTTGACCCACTGATAAGAAACACTGGCATGCCCAACTAAATCAGCAAAAGAAGGCCACTACGACAAGACAACAGGCAATATGCAACAAAATGTAACATATTTCAAGGAAGAAAGTGAGACTGAAGGTGATAGGCGTAGGATTCTGGAAGCTGATTACGGTAAATGATTAAAAACAAGCCTTAATCAAAGCACTGAAAGCCATACAATCTACTGCCCACTTTCATTGACACGGCCTTGGCAGGACCGATAAAAATTAGACCAAATTATACTGCGGGAGAAATTTTGTGAGAGGCAGAAAAAAAAGAACACAGTTCATTGAGTGGCGTTTGCTCCCAAATGTAAGATTTCTAAAAATTGAACATGACAGGTGTGTTTTTGCTTAGAAACATAGCATAATTAAGTTAATACGTCACTAACCTAAACAAGAATAGAATGTGCACAAATTTCTAAACTCGAAAAAGACAGCTTTTCTCCGATTATGTAAGTAATAGCACAATGAAACAAAAAAACTAGGTTCTGAGAATGAAGGTATCTGCTCACTATTCATGACCATCCCTCTAGGACAGCATTTTATTCCTATCATGGAATTATAAATTTTATTACCACAGTAGATCCCCGCTGTTCGGTTCCCAAGTTTTGGATTCTCCTGGCTGTTACGCGATTTTGGCCGACACTGGCACACTCAAAAGGATCCCATGCATTGCAAACTCTACTGTTTCTTCCAAACTGCGGGACCGATCCCTTGCATTGTACTAAGCGAGTGAGTCAGTGGCAACTTTTATTCATCGAAGGCGAACTGGCCTTCTGAGATGGCGCAGGCGACTATGCTGACTTTTCACGTGGCTTGGCTTGGTCCACCAGGTGGCTTGACAATTGAGTTGGTCGCCAGAAGCGGTGGTGGCAACATCGAAAATACCTTTTCCCGACCCGCCACCGAGAACACCACCTCCGAGACACGTATTTGTTATCTTAACATGACACAGATTACGTTTCTTTAGTGCTAAAATTCAGTTTTGGTGCATTTGACCGCATCCCGTAGAGCCATTACACTTCCGATGATGCCGTCGTCACTCACAAAATATTGTCTGCCGACGAAAATCGGGCCTTAGTGTGTTCCGATGCGTGGGTCAGTGATAGTAAGTCGAGGTACAGTAGATGCCAGAACTGCTGCTCGAAGCCAATGACTTCATTGACTGTAACAGCACTAGATCCGAGCGGAACGGGGCATAAAACAGGACCGAGAAAGAAAGAACGCACGACACAAGTGCTGGCTCTTTCTCGGTCCTGTTTTTTTGCACTGTTCCCCTCAGTATCATGTACCAACTGGCCCTTCAAAACAACCTTCAGCACTAGATCTGTCGGCAATAAGTGGACGCAGTGGCACCACCGAAAGTCGCACGGTACTGAAGGTGCTTGAGAGACGCCTCGTACTGATCAGGCCTGACAAAATGTGGCAGGTGACACAGCACAATTCCTTCAAGCAAAAGGTCTAATATAAAACTGCATGCTTTTCTCCACTACTCCAATTATTCTTTTTTTTTTTTCACATGTCTCAACTTTTACATTTCCCGGCTCTTACGTTCCTTTTTTGCCGACCCCGTGAAAAACGTACCCGTGTGGTTCCACTGTATGTCATCCTTTGAAAGGCCCGTAAACCACCTCCAATATTTTTTCAAGCATCTCAAGTAAAAGCGCGCTTCGTGTGCAGAATGTCGTTGCAATCAACAATTCTGCACATGGCAGGGCTACGAGCCGTTGGCGCGTCACAAATTCCAAGAAAAAATTACTCCTCCTTTCCGGGCCTTTCAAGCCTCCGCGTGATGCGCCGTACCCCCCATCTCTGGTGCACCGAGCCAAATATGCCAAATATGCTGTCGAGCAAGATCCTAGGACTTCTGGTCAGTCTGCAAGCAGCTCTCCGCACCGCTTGTTGTTGTTCGTTGTGTTGCCTGCGTGCATGCAACACGTTCAGGGCACGGCATGTCCCCATACGGACCCATCGCGTTGGCAATCCTTTGAAAGCATGTGTGCAACGCAGGTTCTATACGATTACGGCAGCCACTGTTCGCCAACAAGCACGCAACTAACGGAGTCGACGGTTGGAGTTGCAGCAATTGGAAGTAGACAGTGTTTCAAGCAGCAATATGCCACGTGAGATTGGGAGGGGCCCTCGTCGAGGGGCAAAGCAGGGTGAGAGAGGATACCAGCGGAGGGAAGGGCAAGAGAGAGCGAAAGGTGGGGTTGTCACAGTTTCCATAATCGAACGTGTCTAACTCCACTATCACTGCACCGTTTAGAAAAATTCTCACGGCTCAGTGTTTGTCGTACACTTGTGCACAATTTCCCCACAACTTAATTTCAATCTCTGGGTCGTTTATGGGCCCTTTAAGCAGTTAATCCATTTGATGTCCTGCAATTATTAAATAACTCAGCCATTGATGATGGGGTGGTGGCCCGTGCCAAACAAGCCACTTTGCTAGCCCATCCAGCAACGAGAGTACGAGTCTACGGAATGCAGAGAACACACGACAAAACGTTGTTGATGATTGCATGATGAAAACAGCTAATCGCTTCAACGTTCACTTGAGATCAGGCAGAAAGCAGCACCTCATTATCACACTACGAACAAAGGGCTGTGTAGCCATCCATGGTGACCACCTTGGGACACCAACGATGATGATGCTAGAAAGGCAGTCTCCAACAGTACATTGTGACAGTAGTAATTGATTTGGTTCGTATTGAAGGGACACCAAAGAGAAAAACAGTTTTTCCCACATTAGTAAACTACCCTTTCACATTAACGAAAGTGCAATGCTAGGTACTAGAAAATGTTGAATAACGAAGAAAACGTGCAATATAAGTACGCAGGTGACGACGGCACCTTCAGATTCACGCACTAACCAAATGCTATATCACTAACTTTGAAGGCGTCTTCTAGGACTTGCACATAAGTGGTAAAAATCAAGCACACTTTCTTAATAAAAGCCAAAGGCTTAATGTGCCAAGTTCAAGCAAATTTTATTAAGCCAATGTGGCATAAATGTAAAAAGCACTTGGAAACCTGTGACGTCACACAGATTTCAATTTCACAAGTTTTGGCCCAAATTTTAAAAATTAAAATATACTTCTCTAATATGTTAATGGACAACGGATAGTAATATTAGCCAAAATAAAATGATCAAAGAATAATTTATTAGTCTAAAGTGCCTAATATGTACCGATGGGTCACGATTTTCGAAGAAGCCGCGCACAAGAGGTCACAAAGCAAGCACACATTGGAGTTGTACCAGTGCTTGTATTTGAGTCCTTTAAGGTATGCGTGTTTTGCATTGTTCTGTGCACTGCTTCTTCGAAAGTTTAAATTCATTCACTGTTTAACTTTAGTGTCCTTTTGAGTGTACTGCCCCAGCAATTTTCTCGGAAAGAAATGATAAGATCTTCCAGGGGCAGGTGGACATCAAGACTTTTCAGCAAGACATAATCTTCATTCATCAATTCATTCACTGTGATTCATAATCCTTCAGGATGGAAGTTTGTGTGACTATAGCAACCGCAGTAGTCATTATGTAGGTTGGGAGTGCGTGAGACGATCAGCCAAGCCTTAATTGCCTGACAGAGGCTAGCCCTGGATTTTAAAAAATGAAAGCTTGGTCCCACAGAAGCATATGGTTGCTGGCTAGTACATTAGGTCAAGACTGAGCCAAGATAAAATTTGTATTAACAATAGTTGAATAGATGGAAGACGATAATATATTAAGAAATCAATTTGCACTTAATAAATCGTTATACAGAAGGCCCACGAAATGAATCCTGTGTGCCATAGCAATAAGGTTTGCAGCTACAATGGTTAGAGACACAAAACAATAAGGTAATTTGGCACACCATGAAAGTAGTATGTGCAAAAAACATTAGTACAGACAGCTAAAGAATTTGATGTAGAGTCAATAATGATATGTCGTTTTGGTTGAGAAATCTGGGCACTATTTTGAGGCTCAACCTTGCCTTCACAGGCTCCGACTCCAAAACATTAAAACTAGCCCAATTTAACTGATTCTTGATAGTTGGACCCTGCATAATTAACTCAAATTACACTCTGATACAACCGAAGACAGAAGTGCCTTTATCCCTACAGTCAATAGCATGGCTGAGTCATCATGATGTCACGGCCAACTGCCTTTGCACCACGCTCACAAGAGGGATCGCAAAGTGTGTCAAAGAGCTTCACAAAGCGTAACAGAGTTGAAAGTTGGGCTAGTTGGAAATGCATGGTATAACTGTGTTTTAAGCACATGAAGTCCTTTATTCCTTTGTGTTTCTTCATGCGCTTAAAACACAGTCATACCTCGGAAAGCATGTAACAAAGCGGCTGCGTTGTAATCAACTATAGAAGCGCACAAGTTGAGGAAAAAGAAGAGACTTAAGACATGCAGAGTTCATGTGTCTCAAGACTTTACATCATATCTTACCCACCTTGATTCAACCCACAACCTCAACCTATCCTGCAAGAGTCCGCCCGGTTAACCTCATATTGCAGCACTAGTCCCTTGTAATCACAACAGCTACACTTACTCGGCCCTCTTGGCTAGATGCAACCCTAGCAGAGACATTGTGCATCTTCGCTACCCCTAAGCATCGTCACAAACTATGACATTGTCATCATCACCGTTTCATTTACAGGTCCTGCCACGCAGTCAGCCGAAGAAGGCACCCGAGAATATTGCAGCAGTACTCACAGGCCGAGTGGCTTCGGCGTCCCTCGGGGGGCACGCCGTCAACGCGCGGGTGCACCCAGCACGAGGTGGCCGTGTCCAGGTAGGCCATGCGGTTGCAGTAGACCTCGCTCTGCGAGTGGTACGGACCCTGGCTGTCACCGCGACCACCCCAGACGTACATGCGGCCCCCAATGGCCGAGGCTGAGTGGAAATCCCGCCACTGTGGGGGCTGGCCCTGCGGAACAACACGTGCACTTTAGGTTGACTGGCCTGCTTTAGCAGCGAAGCTGCTTGACGACTGTCGTAGACCTACTCCCTACAGCCAAACCCCCCTGCAACGAACGGGGCGCGAAAAAATTTTTGTCGAAGCGAACGTTTCGTTGTAGTGAATTAAAAAAATATAGCCGACCTGAACTAGCAAAACAAGAGAACTTTTATTCCCAAAATTCAAAAAGTGTCGGATGCTTCCTTTTCTTTCCCAGGAGCATCACGACAGGATTCTCTGCCATGCATAGCGACGCGATGGTGAAAAGTAGGCTGAAACAATGGCCACAACTGCCACAACGGCTTTCGTGAATGAACCTAACAGTTGCACTAATACACTAACACTAGCAGCTGTCCGCCTTTCAAGTGATTCAACAATGCCAAGACAGCCATGTCTTATGCCTCATTCTATGCTCTTGTGATCATCCACCACTCGCGGCTGGATGATTTTATTGATAACACAGATGAACAGCCGTGATGAACAGTTAGTGACCACAATGGCCAAGCACGAGAAGAACCAAAGCATTGTCATCGGAAAAAGGCAATGTTCCACTATTTCATACAACAGCTGCATGAAGGAAACTATGGTACTGGGCGACTGAGCTTCAGTTTCAGATTGTCTGCGACTCGGAAACAAGCCAGTGGCAAAATCCAGGCAGTCTCACTGCAATCGCTATAGCGCAATGGCGGGGCCCCATGCTTAGTAAACAGTGGTGGTTTCTGGTGATGCCAACATGTTTTTTAGACTTCGTATTTTTGTATCTTAGACGTATTTTTATGTTCTGAAAATGCATAAAAATGTTCGAGATTGTGTTGTCTGCACAGCATTAGATATTCAAGCCTGGAATCACATCATCAAATTTAATTAAAGTGGAACAACAGAAGAAAAAGTGTTTATTGTGGGGAGAATATTTGTGCATTGACTCCTATGAACTGTTGACGGGGACCTGAGAATTTTTCGTTGACGCAGCATTCGTTGTAGCGGGGTTCAACTGCGCTCCCTCAACTCACCACTATACCTACTACTGCTGCCGCCACTCCTGCCACTCCACTTCACCCACTTAATTCAACCCACCTCATGCAACCCCCGCTCCACGCCTTAGCATCGCTGTTGGATCAGTGTCCACTAAGCGGAGCTGACTGCATATTTTTTTTAGTGGCACAAGCGCAAAGTGACACTATTGTTCCTCTGAGAAGCTTATGCGGTCATTCTGCTTTTTCTGTATACTTGAAAACATCTCCTAAAAAATGAAACGGGTTCAAAATGTGTGTTCTGGTACAAGTTTTGAACTTACACTACATACGATATAGTACCGTAGCATAAGCTTACCGTTTATAAGGGCCAATGAGCAGTCGGGATGATTAATGAAAATTAAATGAATGAGTAGGACGTGCCGAAAAGATAGCACTGTCTAATAAATGGAAAGAAAAGAAAGGTATTCTTGCAAATGAACAACAACTGTACTTTACCTAGTACTTCCTGTAACTGTTTGCATTTCATAATAAAGTGACATTTGTTCCAGCCAAGCATATGAGAAAATTATAGGTTAACATAGGTACTATTTCTTGGCACCGTAGCAGGCATGCGCTTCAGCTCTACAACTTCCACAGTGCTGCCAAATATAGTCATGCGTCACTCCCGCAGAGCAACAACATTTCTTTTCTTTTTCCAGCCTTGATTATAATAACTACAGTCAATCTCAGGGTATATCAAACTTGGATATATCGAATCGGCTATATCGAACATTCGAGGAATCCCCGTAAATTTCCCATGCAAAAGTATGGCACCGGTGCATATCGAACACCCGCACAGAGGGACATCTGCTATATCGAACGCTGCGCCGCGCCGAAGCCCAGAAAGTGAATTTTTTCTTGTAAACATTGATCAATTTTCGGCCGCGTTCTAACAAGTTCCATTCCTTTTGAGCGCGCAAGTGGCGGAAAGGCGGTATTATTTCATCGCACTAATCTGGTTCATTGCACGGCGCTTGCAAGTGCTCCGGTATCTTCGATGCGAATTTGCAGGTCTTAGCACGTAGGCATAGTGTCTTTCAAAAAAGACTGATTGCCGAGGACAACCAAATGAGAATGCGAAGTGATTCAGCTGAGCTCGTTACAATTTTCCCATTCTCTTCCTTGTTTGTTAGCGCACAATGGCCTGCGAGCCTCAAAAGCATGGCCTTTGAGATGTGCCACCAAGTGACGTATTTTTCAGGTTTCCAGTTTTAAAAGGCATGTCTCGTAGGCTACGCTTTTTCTAGCTTCTCGCATCAAAGCAGCTGAAAGCAGCGGCTGTCAGCTACCAAGCTACAGATGACATCGACATCGCCAATATGTCGACGGCAGGAACTCAGCTAGAGTGTCTAACATTGCGTTGTCTTTTGCACCTTTTCGCCTCCTTTCTGATAAATCCTAACGTTCACTAACGTTCCTAACGTTCCTAAGGTTCGTTAAACCTAACGTTCACCCATGTATAGCGATAAAAATTGTGGCGGGCACTAGGAGCGATGTAAAGTAAAGCACCGTTGTTAACTTTCCTTGCTGGCCAGGTGACGACTTCGGGTGTGTCATGACCATGGCTGCCTCAGTGAATAGACCTCTACCGGGGTACGTCACAGCATGACGTCACCGGTGCACATGTAAGGCGGTGGTTGGCAAAAAAAATCGCACCGGTGGCTGAGTAGGGTATTCACTGGGTGCTTGTGGCAAGTTTTCTTTTATTTTTGAGGGCTAAATTTTATCTAATAACAGTGGCAAAATTAGCTGTGCTATGTGTCAGAGAAACACCTAGGTGTGTGGTAAAGTGCGTGGTGTGGTAAGGTGCGTGATGAAATATTTACCCCGCTGATTGGCTGTTTAACTCGGACGGAAAGTGAAGACACGTGGCAGCCTGTGCGAGGAACAGCGGCATCATCGTCGAAAATGTGCAGTGTTGACTGTGGCGTGTAGTGTGCATTGAAAGGTGTCAACAATATTGGTTTACCTTTGCGGATGGTAAAACTGGGAATATTGTGTGTAGTGTGTGCAGTGTGAATAACGCGCCGCCGCAACTGTTTGCGAAAACACTGGTATTGGTTGTGGGCCGGTTGCAGTAACCAGTTGTTGATGGAACTTTATGATCTGACATTTTAGTCGAGGTAAAAGTGCATTTGAAATAATCATCAGTGAGTGGGCACATCTCAGCGTATGCGCCGAGTGCAGAAAAATAAAAGTGCATGATCTCCGGGTGATATATAAACGACTACGTATGAGCTATAAGCATGTTGTAGCGTTGCCGAATCTGCATATACGCTTCACCAAGGCTATAACTTGTATTATCAGATACCTGATACGCGGTAATGGAAACTGCGGAAATTTTCTTAGCTTATCTAAAATTTGTACATTTACGGCTCGATCCTTATAAAGTGACAATGCGCATTAGAAGTTTGTGTATCAAGCCTAAAGGAGCAAAACACGTTATAGGTGTCAAATCCAGCAAGGTAACTGTGCCAGATAATATTGTATATTATTAAGCTGTTGGGTTTTACATCACATGATTTTTCATTTTTCACAAGGTTACTAAGAAATGCAGCCACAGAATTGCACTTTAATTTTCACTATATAGGATATGTTAGCCTCAGCGTAACGCACGGCAAAAAGTGTTTCTCTTTTTTTTTTTTCATTCAACTCTGATTAGACTTTTGCGCAATCAGTATCTTATCCGTGACATCGCACACAGCAGCTCAAAACGATGCTGCCGACAATGCTGTACCTCGATTAAAATTGCGTTGCACATGCCACGTTAGATATTCAATAGGTTGACATTCATGCCATGCAAATATTTCTCAAAGTTCCAGTTACTGTGTACATTCAAACCGTTCGCTTTCGAAAAAGATAAGATTTTTTTACGGCTGCCATCTACATGGGTGAAGCCCACTTCGTGCTTGTCGCGTCTCTCTCTCCATCCATCCATTTACGACGAGCAAATTTCCACACTATAAGCAGTGACCTTTTCGTGACACCCTTCTTTCAAAAGCTGCGACTTTAGAACATATAAATGTAGAATTTTTTGTCGAAGGAATGCAGACACGCAGCTCTGCTATGCAGAAAAATGCCGCCGGCGAAACTTTCTTGCCAACCAGCACCTGATCGGAGAGAGGGTATGGTGGGCGGCGTGCCTGCAGTGACGTCACATTGTTTACAAACAGGGCGAGGTCTATTCTGCGACTTATCGGCATTTCTGAGCACCATTTTAGATAGTGAGCAACCATCGGTGCAGATGACGACGTAGCCGTTTCTGACTGTCATTGTTGTTCCTGTAGAAGTGCACCCGTGCGGTTAAGAATATGCGAACGCCTTCCCTGCCGCCGCTAACCACCCTTTTGCAGCGCTACAAAGCTTGCACTGGCATTCTACATCAATCAACGATGTTGTGAATGAAGGAGGTGAATTAGCTTACTTAAAAGCCTTCAGATATTTTGAAGATGACTGGAACTTGATGGCGCAGAAGAAGCAAACAAGTTTACAGACATTTTTCATGCGAAATAAAGTGTGGTACCAGTTCACACCTAGTTCATTATTATACCGTGAGCGAATTATTTTGTTAGCAATTGTAAAAATTTCCAAGGAAAGAAATACTTATATTTAGGCTTAATTATGCAAATTTGTATTTAAAATTATTGACACATCGACTATTTAGCAATTTCTTTCGAGTTCAATATATATGGGATCGACTGTAATTGTGCCAAACTCTTCAAGATACTTGCAGTTTTATTTGAGAGATTAGCATCGATGTAAGCACTATATAAGTTTACCTGAGTGTTCTGAAATGGTCTGAGCACTGGACGTATAAAAAAAGAAGCAAAGAATATGAATAATAAAAAAAAATGGGGTGGAAACGAGCAGTGCCAGAGACTCGATAGCCAAACATGGCCTTCAGAAAAAATTACAAGGAGCTCGTGACGTGCCCTATGTAAATGAAGCAGCATACCC